TGCCCCGGAGCAAAATGAGCAAAGCCAACAGTGGGAACATCCCTTAGGTAGGAAAGGCTTTATGGATTGTGCACATCTGTATCAAGTATCAGCCATTGCCTGATGGAAGAGTAAGCGCATCTCAGGTTTCTGTGGGTGAGATGACCCCCAAGGTGTTAGAAAGTCTCTTTTTTCCCAGCCCCATGACAGAAGAAGTCAAGATTCATCGGTTTTGCTTTTCAAGGTTGTTTATTTTCTCTTACTTATCACATTCTTTCTCTGACCTTCTGAGATCTGTCCTGCAGGTCATGTTGTGGCATGGTGCCTGCCCTTGGCACAGTGTTAACTTTTTATACTAAGAACTATGTGTACTTTATTTACAATAATTTTCCAATACCTATCACCTATATTAGACAGTCTATCTCTATTCTAAACCAATCAAAAAGTGTCACCATTCCAGCAGAAGATGGAGGACAAGAAGAAGGAGAAGAAGGACAGGGCATGCCCAGATTCCTCCATCTTGCCTCTTGAACCCCCATTCTAAACCCCAAAATCCTACTTTTTCACCCTGTGGCAAATTACCTATCATTCTCCTCAAACTCTTGTGGCTTGTAAATCTTCACACAAAGATGGGAATTTTTTCCGGGGACTAAAATCAAAGGCACAGGTGTTTTTGACTCCATGCCAAGGTCTCTGAGCTCCTTGCCAGGGTCTCGAATCACCCAGAGCAGCCAGAGGAATGTCCTGAGTCCTGACAAACACAGATCTAATTTTACCACTCGACTTTCTGAACATTACAAACACAAACTAAATGAAGAATATATTTGATGATACATACAGTTGTCAAGTGGATTTGTCAATGTCTTTTCTGGTGGCTATAATAATGTATAGGCTGTTTAAGGATGAAATACCATAGCAGATATTAAAATTGTTTGAGCTGATCTTCTTTAAAAATATATAAAAAAGGCACTGTATGGCAATGAGCAATCCCTGGGTGCTGTATTGCTATACACATGGCAGTAGCTCATAAAGATGAATTTCTCCTTTTGATCAGTTTTATTCTTGGTGAAGTGCTAATGACTGTATAATTCTAATTCTTCATTTTCTTAAGCTGGGAAAAAGAGTTTGGTGCGATGTTGAATGTTTCACTGATTTTAGGAAGCCACAAAAAGACCCAAATGTACATGTACATTTTTACCCACATGAGAAATGCAGAGTCAGTTGGTGCTTGTTAAAATTTGGGAAGGCAAAGTTTAAAATATTTAATTCAGCTGTCAAAACTATTACTTACTTACTTATTTACATCCATGGAAAGTTACTGCTTTATTTTCAAGTCATAAATCAACCACAAAGACAATTCAACAGGAAATCACAATTCCAACTCTTATTATAAAACTGTTATCAGAAACCAAAGACCATATCGTCACTAGAAAATATAGAAACTATCTGAGCAGTAGCTCTTTCAAAAACTCTCATTATTTGAGAGATTAGATATAACATTGCATTTAGAATTGCATAGAATCTCCTATGCTAATTTAACCAAATTCAACAAAATACAAAATTCCAAATTTAAACACAACACAAACATGTTTCATAATATGAACAAATATATTTATTCCTACAGTTTATCTCACAACTTCACCCATATGAAATCAGGGAAGGAAAGACTATGGTGTGATAAATTATATGCCAAGTGATTACAGGGGAAAGGAAAGAGAACTCAGAGTCTGGAAGATTTTGGGTGAAATAGGCTCTAGGACAGATGTTCCTTTTATTATACAAATAACTAGAACTGCTGCTGAATCAGACAATTATAGGTAGCGTGTAAGTTGTGCAGAGACAGTATTTCATACTGAAATATTGGTATGACTTTAAATTTCCATTCCAGATAATTTTTTCATAATGAGACCCTGTTCCTTACACAGACATATATATGAATATATATATATATATTCATTGTTCATTATTTCCAAATGTGCAGAGAATGATCCAAACTAATTTCTTATTCATACTGTGTTTCCTCAGCTTCCACTACACAAAGTATAAAAATGATTTTAAAACACTAAAAATTTTAAAAATACACTAAATTAATTTCATATAAATCTCAGCAAGGGCTAGAAAGCATGGAATCCAGAATGCTAAGGGAAGTGTAGGTTTCCTTCTGTCAATAAACATGTGAAACTTAGGTGATGACTGACTTCATATCATGCAATCAATAAATATAATTGCTTTTGCTGTCTTATTCCTGTATAATATTTACTTTAGAAGTCCCTCTCTACTTTAAATTTGGAAAAAATTATTCTGGTGTAACACATTTTCCTTTTGCAACACTTCATTTTTTTGATTATTCCATTTATGGGCACATTGTGAAAAAACGTATCTAGGAAATGTTTAATTTGGAATAATCAAGCCACCTCTTATCTAAAGGAGATTACAGAGGCGGAAGTGTTTGCACTTCATTTGCAGACATTGAGGAGCTTATTTTGCCAGTTTATGGTTCCTTGTCTTTTGAGGTAAGAAAATTCAGCCCAAGGGCCAAAACTGCTTCTCCCGCTGCTCAACTATTGCTCTGCCACACTAGCAATTCCTCACTGGGAACAAGGAGATGGAAACCTGCACGAAGTGCAAGGTGCCAGCGATGGTGCAGTGTCACACAGCACACAGGGCAGTGTCACACAGCACACACAGGGCAGTGTCACACAGCATGCACGGGGCAGTGTCACACAGCACACAGAGCAGTGTCACACAGCACACAGAGCAGTGTCACACAGCACACAGAGCAGTGTCACACAGCACACAGAGCAGTGTCACACAGCACACAGAGCAGTGTCACACAGCACACAGAGCAGTGTCACACAGCACACAGAGCAGTGTCACACAGCACACAGAGCAGTGTCACACAGCACACAGAGCAGTGTCACACAGCACACAGAGCAGTGTCACACAGCACACAGAGCAGTGTCACACAGCACACAGAGCAGTGTCACACAGCACACAGAGCAGTGTCACACAGCACACAGAGCAGTGTCACACAGCACACAGAGCAGTGTCACACAGCACACAGAGCAGTGTCACACAGCACACAGAGCAGTGTCACACAGCACACAGAGCAGTGTCACACAGCACACAGAGCAGTGTCACACAGCACACAGAGCAGTGTCACACAGCACACAGAGCAGTGTCACACAGCACACAGAGCAGTGTCACACAGCACACAGAGCAGTGTCACACAGCACACAGAGCAGTGTCACACAGCACACAGAGCAGTGTCACACAGCACACAGAGCAGTGTCACACAGCACACAGAGCAGTGTCACACAGCACACAGAGCAGTGTCACACAGCACACAGAGCAGTGTCACACAGCACACAGAGCAGTGTCACACAGCACACAGAGCAGTGTCACACAGCACACAGAGCAGTGTCACACAGCACACAGAGCAGTGTCACACAGCACACAGAGCAGTGTCACACAGCACACAGAGCAGTGTCACACAGCACACAGAGCAGTGTCACACAGCACACAGAGCAGTGTCACACAGCACACAGAGCAGTGTCACACAGCACACAGAGCAGTGTCACACAGCACACAGAGCAGTGTCACACAGCACACAGAGCAGTGTCACACAGCACACAGAGCAGTGTCACACAGCACACAGAGCAGTGTCACACAGCACACAGAGCAGTGTCACACAGCACACAGAGCAGTGTCACACAGCACACAGAGCAGTGTCACACAGCACACAGGGGGCAGTGTCACACAGCACACACAGGGCAGTGTCACACAGTGCATGGGGCAGTGTCACACAGCACAGAGGGCAGTGTCACACAGCACACGGGACAGTGTCACACAGCACAGCCTCATCGGCTCACCCAGCCCCAGGTGAGCCCAACCAAGGCCCAGTCCGGCCGGCAAAGCAAGACATGAATTTTCTCTTAACATCTCCACACCAATGGCAGAAATTCTGGACCAAGAAAGAGGATGGGAATGCCTGACAGTGTTGGGGAAAAGTTGCTTCCGTCCTTCCTCACAGCAGCATGAGTTTTGGTCAACAGAAAATAATCCTGAAAGTGCCGCTCTCTAGGGCAGTATCGTTCTCTTGTGCCAAGAATGACAGACTTGAGCTGATGCTTCAGCCTGTCCTCATCTCCACCTTCCCTTATCCCTGCTCCTTTCCCCAGCATGGTATTTGGTCACAGACAGCCAAGTGGGGATCTGGGAGTGACAGCAGAGCTGCTGGACATACTCAATTAGCACAAGACAGATCACAGGACTCTGCCGTCTGTGAGTGACCATGCACGGCAGATTAGCAGCTCTGGCAGACAGGGTAAACCACCTATGCTTCCAATTAAATTGTTTCTGTCAAATGTGGACTCCCTGAAGCAATCAGGCACCTTCTAGATGCAAATCTGCCTTCTCATTTTACTGCTGCTATAAAGAATAAAGCACACAATCTTCAAAACCAGACCCATGTCAATGCTAACCATATGAAAACAATGTCGCCCTGATTTTGTATGACTTTGTTAAGCCTTCTGATCTTTACATACTTTCAACAAACTTTCTCACACACAGTTCTGTAAATAACCTATGTTTTGCATTCTTTCATGGAGGTGGAGAGAATTGATGGACCCTTGGTCTGTCCAGGGGCATTGGAGAGGTGGCACTGTCACCCTCCAATCCACTGTCACCTTTGGAAAACTATAAATGTTGGAGTCAGAAAATAAAGGTTCTTCTTTTTTGTTCCCCTCGAGAGCAGCAGTGTCTGTGTCATCATTTCGTGCCTTATCACAACAAACAAAAGTACAATAAATAGAAACCCAGAGAGCCTCTTTAGTATGCATGTTTTCTCAGGGCAGCAAAAATATGTAGATAAAAATAATTTGCCTTTATGTATTATATGGTTTTCATTGGGTTTGTAATGATTTAAGTGACTTAGTCTTCATACCCAAACAAGGAAAACTTTTAAATTGCAGATTTCCTTTGGGTATAAAATGTAATGTTTTCCTTTCCTTATTTTCCAGGGACATCAAACCTGACAACATACTACTGGATGAACATGGTAAGTGAGTACTGCTTTCTCTCAGAATCTCTAATTCCTGAGGTCTCAGTGGCATGCTCATGACATGCTTTGTAAGTCAGCCTCCAGTGTTTAGTTCCTACCTAAATCTGGACTTTCTCAGAAAGCTCCCTCAGACCACCTCGTGGATTTTGTCGTTCCCCCTCCTATTGCCAAAGAAATGTGCAGATCAGAAATTTTCAAGGTCTGAATACAAAGGAATTTAATATTAATTGAGATCAGCAGGGACACTTGGTAAAAAGAAGTTAGCATTTTATTAACAGGATTCTATGAATCACCATAACCCCTTTTTAGGTGCTTACCAACAGAACAGTACCAAGCACTTTATTTTCTCTTTTAGGACTTCTGAAGGGCTAAGAAATTCCACATAGCAAATTATTTCTCATGTAGATATCTAAAATAAACTTTCTAAAATCTAGATAGGGATATTGGAAATTTGACTGCAAAGTTTGTCTCCATACATGTAGCTCTGGCTTAAATAGCATAAAAAGGAGTAGACAACAAATAAACAGCTTTGAAATTTTACTACTAAAGTCATGTTCTTAAAGATAAAAGACATGGTATGAAAGAAAAGCAGCTGATTTCTTTAAATTTTAAACATATACTCTCTCCAAGAAGTATTTAGTTAAAATGTCATGTGTCTTTTGCAACTGTTTACAGGGAAAACATAAGAAATGTAGGTAAAGAGGGCATTAACCTTGTATCAGTTAGAACAGAAATACATAGAGGAAAAAGCCTTGTTAGAAAAAGGAGATGTGCTTTGTTTACTTCCAAAATTGATTAAAAGCAGAAAATCTCTGAGAAACTATAATATTGAAATTATGCCAATGATGTAATTGTGTTTCAAAATTCATTGTAGAGCTGCTGGGTATACAAGTAAAAGTTGATTAAAGAGGTAACATTCTACATAGATGATGTTTGTTTCTGGGAACACGAAAGCTAATAAAGCAAAGTAATACTGGATTTTAAACCATCTAGAACTTCAGCAATTTAATGCTTCAGACCCATAAGTGCTAATGTTCACAAGACTCTAGTAGTAGCAAACATACATGAAACAGAAATATCTTGCCTTTAAGTCCTGGTGAATTAAAGATGGCAAGAGCAACACAAAATGAGTATGAGTGTGTTAAATCTCTGATTGACAGCCTTGGAAGCACAGTCACCTTTATCTCTCCCTGCCTCTCATCAAGGTCAATTAGTGCACAAACCAGCCCCTTGTGGTTAAAAACAAGGTCTCTTGTGAGAGCTTACCTATGCGAACTTGGGCGCCACAAAGAAGAACCTACCCCAGAGTGAGCACTACCATGCAAAATGAAGGGGATTTTTTCTGATTATAAACCATTCAGTAACCAAGTTATCTGCAGGCAGATTGGGAATTTTGGGATGGATGGCCTCTCTTCTGCAAAGCAGCAGAGTACTGCTCCCTCATAGCACACCTGCAGACAGCAGACCTCTCCAGACAAGCACACAAATCTTGGTCAGCAGAAGTCACCAATTCATGGGTTCAAACAGGTTCACAGACCTGTCACATGGGTGGGGGAAGGAGCTCCCTGGAGCCTGTAAAAGGTCTGTACACTTCAACTCACTAAATGTGGTGACATCAGTATGACATGTGCCTGTCCCATGCTAATTGCTTCAGGTTTACCTTACATAAGTGAAGCTCTTTTGCAAGAGGAAAGCTATTCTTGAAGTCCTTAACAGCTCTCATTAAGCTGCAACATTGTAACATCCTTTTAACAAAGTCATCAGATTTCACTCAATGGAAAAATATGCTGAATATATGCACCACAAACATATTTGGCTGCAGAGGAAGCATAAAAAATTCACCTAACATGAGCCTAACCAGGTGTACAGGAAGGAACTTTATTTTAGCCTGTGGCCTCTAAGACGGCACAACAGTTTCCTATATGCTTGACTTTACCCCTAGGTCTTACAGTTCATTAAACAAATTATGCTTACACAAAGCATCACGTAATTGGATATGCACATTTCTGACTGAGACTTTGTCTCATTTCCTGGCTCATGGTTTTCACAGTTTAACAGCTTCCAGTGACCATTTCTGAGAGCTTTTCTGTTGCTTCCTTTTTCATCATTAACATCTTCTGTTAGGATCTTTACCTTAAATACAGATTATGTGAAGATTCACTACCTAGCTGTTAATTTTGAAGATCTGACTTGCTAATTTCACTGAATGATTGTTATTTCTAATCTTGAAACTGTCTCCTGATGGGTCTCCATACTGAAATTACAGTTCTAGTATTTCACTCTTAGATTTAACTATTTACATGTTATTGGGTTTGGGGGGTTTCTTAGATAGATTTTTGCATCTGATTGTGGTATTTTTACTCAGTAAAATAACTTATGACTGAACAAAATTAATGGAAGCTGGAATTACTTTATTATATATTATTATATTCATTTGTGATCATCAAAGTTTTCCTTAAAACTCTATCTCCTTGAATACATTTTAGCTCTTATTTGGAAACTCTAGGCAAAATTGAAAGATGTAGCCAATGAGCAATCTTGGCATTAAAACCAAATATGGGAAGAAAAAACCTACTCAAAAATAACTGGAATCTCAATATTAACTTCTGAATACCAGAACTGCTAATATTATTGCTGTATACTGTTGTCTGTGAGACAATTGCGGGGACTCCACCTTGTTTAACCCTCCAATTGTGATTAAGACAAAAGGTTCCAGCATACTGAATTTACCTGAAGCTGTCTAGATTTTGAAAGTGTATCTGAAAATTTTACATGCCTACGTGGCCATTCAGCAGCCTAACGTTTTGAAGAGCAGAGCTTTGCTGGACCCATGTACAGCCATGCAATTTCTACCAATCTCCCTAATGGTAAATGTCAGACTGCCAAGTCATGCCCAGTTCACGTGGGTACAAGCTTAGGCTCTCACACATAGCACAGATGAGTCCAGAGAGGCTTTTTAAATCTTCATAGGTTTGATATTCTGACAGCAAATCAGATTTGACTGTACTTCAAAATGTTACTGTTCTGAGATTTACAATCAGCTCTGGTGCTGCTGAGTTGATGGCACTAACCCCAGTATAACATTTCTTCTCTCTGACATCACATTCACCCCTTGGGTTTCAGACGCTGAGAAGTTCAATGAGGTTTGAAGTCATGTACATTTTCCTCTGCTGAATGTTAGTCAGCTAGCCCCAGACAATTTTCAGGACTTGTTCTAACTGTCATTATGATTTCCTCAAAAATTAAATCCAAACACAGATCACTTGCTGATTACCTCATGTACTGCAATTTCAGGCCATGTTGAAAAGCGAGACATCGAAGTCACATCACATAAAACTTTCCAAAGTCACACAGTGTTTTGTGGGTAGTTAGAGCCTTAACTGGAAGCTGACTGAAGGAATGTAGTTTTGAAACAACTTCCACTGAGATGCTTTCCTCTGCAAATGTATGTGTTGGTGTATGTGAAATCTGCAGTCTGAGATGGTTTGAAATACCACTCTGCAGAGTCAAAGGAATGTGGTCATTTGCATTTTCTTCCCTTCTCTCTACCATCATGTTATTATGTATGGGGTCACACAGCTCCAAGGATTAAGAAATTAGCTCTTTCCCTGGACTAACTTGAATTTAGTTACGACTGCTGAATCTGTTGTGCACTGCTCTGCTTCACTGTTCATAAGAGCAAAATCCAAGTGACACTGACATTCTGTTTATTATTACAAGGTACAGACTCAGTTTGGACATTTAATTGTTCACAATCATACCCAGAAAGGGAGATCAACCACAAGGTGTGAAGCTCAGATGGGAAAAAGTTCCCACAAACAGAAATTTTGCAAGCAGTAAGAAGCAGGTGGGATCCCAGCATATTCTCTGCAGCAATAGCAACCTTCCCTTTTCCTTTGTGCAAGAGTTGCAGTAAAAACTTGTCTTAGAGGCTGATTAGAAAGACACTTATAGAGAGCTGGGGTCTAATTTTCTCTTGAAATATTTACACCAGGAATAAAAAAGTTTAAAGAAACAAAAAAAAACCTCCCCCTCAAAACGACCCCCCCAAGCCCTTAGGGTTACAAGAGTTGAAATCATCCAGTGGTGTGCACAGGCAGGCAGAGTTCCACCTTAACACCCTCCAGCCCTCCTTCACTGACCACAGGCACACAGGGTTCACTCCTGCTCTCCCTCTGTCCCACACAAAACCCCTCTCCATGCCCTCAGTTCCCACCAGGAGCCTCCCCTGCCCACAGAACACCTTCCTTTCATTGGCTCACACTTTTTCTCTGTCATGTGTAGAGGGCTTCCTGGTCTGGGCATCTTAGGAAAAAATTGTCAATAAAATGCAGGCAGGTTTTTTGGGAAAAAAAAAAAAAAAAAGCAGGCAAACCATATAATTGAAAACTTTTCCTGTATCTCTCATTTGGAGAAACAGCTTAAAGTTTAGCAGTGGAAAGTACCTTCCTCCTTTCCCCCTTCAAAATCAGCTCAGATCTGGCCAAATTAGGGTCCTCTGAGAATTTCACCCATGCACAGCTGCACAATTAGAGGCTGGCTGATACATTTCCTGAGGACTTCGAGCAGGATCTAGGTTAGATTTTGGAGCAGCATGACATTTTGTTGAGATTGCTCTTCCTCCATCAGGCACCACGGCAAAATCCATCAGTCATTTGTTACACTCTTTTCATCCTTGGCAGCAAACATGATTAAAAACCTCCCCTCACTTAACAACTGCATCATGCCCAAAGCCTGATCCATTCTGTGGATTGAACGAGACTGAGACCTTGATAAAAAAAAACTCCACACAAATTTGTCACTCAGAAGTCTGGCTCAACATGTGATATATTAATTCTGATCTGAGTGCAGAGCTAAGATGGGGAAGGGAGGTCCTACCCCTGTCCTTCATGGCACTGCCAGATGTAATCACAGGGAGATAGCATCTGCATCACTCCACAACACCAGTCCTTGAGCAAAGATGCAAAACCTAACAGAAGACTTGTCAAATTAAAGCTTTACATATTTTCAAGCTGGATTTCTATTCCATTTACCTGCCTATAACAAACCAGGATTAACAACTATTACTTCAATTGAATCTATGCTTATCATAAACTATCCCAGGAAAAGAGTAAAAGAAGGTTTGGGCCATTCAGCCTCATTAGTGCAGTTTAAATCCTGTCTGGCAGGTCAGGCAGCACATTCTCAGGCTGACTTCTGCCACTTATCGTTCGTCTTGTCACCTGCTGTCAACTGGGTGATGATTTGGGATCTGCTCCTGTTACATACACATCTTCTGCTACTATGGATCTAATGTTATACTTGTTGTGTGATAAAAATAGCATTTTTCTTCTCCCCTCCCCCTTTGCCCTGAGAAGACTCAGAAAAATTCAGGCTGAAGGTAACCTGTAGTGGATGCAATTGCAGACAGTGTCACAAGTACCTGAGATGTGAGGGGTGACTGCAGCTGGAGATGAGGCAAATGTCACACCCAGCTCCACATTCTGCTTCTGCATGTTACTTCATAGAAGACAGAGAGAATAATAGGATAATGGAATGGTTTGGGTTGGAAGGGACCTTCAAGATCACCCTGTTCCAACCCTCCTGCTTATTGTATTTGCAGGGTGCCCCAATGAAGGAAGGAATGATGACTCTGACTCCATGTTCTCAGAAGACTAATTTATTATTTCAGGATACTATATTATATTAAAGAATACTAAACTATACTAAAGAATACAGAACAGATACATACAGAATGCTAGAAAGATAATAATGAAAACTTGTGACTCTTTCCAGAGTCCCAACACAGCTTGGCTCTGATTGGCCAATGAGTGAAAATAACTCACAGCAGAATCCACTGAAACAATCACCTGTGGCTAAATCTCCAAACACATTCCAAAGGAGCAAAACACACGAGAAGCAAATGAGAGAAAATTGTTTTCCTTTTTCTCTGAGGCTTCTCACCTTCCCAGTAGAAAAATCCTGGGCAAGGGGATTTTTCAGAGAATGTGGATGCCACACCTGCTGTGGGCAGGAACAGCTTCAATCAGAACAGGGCTCAGAGCCCCCCCCAACCTGGCCTTGAACGCTGCCAGGGATGGCCCATCCACAGCCCCCTGGGCAGCCTGTGTCAGTGTCTCTCCCCACTCCAGGGGAGTCTCCCAAGGGCAGAGCAGAGAGAAATCACCTCCCTCAGCCTGCTGGCTGTGCCTCCTTTGATGCAGTCCAGGACAGGGTCAGCCTGGGCTACAAAAGCAGCTGCTGGGGTGTGCATGTCCAGGTTTTCATCCACGAGAATAACTCAATGAGTTATCTCCAGCGTGTGCTCGTGCCTGAGATTGCCCCCATCCACGTGCAGTACCTTACACTTGGACCTGCTAAACATCTGAGGTTACTGTAGGCCCATTTCTTGTCTTTGTTCATGGCATGAGAAGATTCAGGGGTGATCAGCAAAAACAGTTCAGGAGTGCAGACAGAGAGTGGCAACCACACAAGAGTATTCCATCACTGTGCTTCAATTTTTTTTTTTTCTAGTTAAGAGTAACATTTAATATTAAGTTTCTATTAATGTTACATCTTTCCAATTGTGTTTCTTTAAATTATCACTTAAATGTTAGATAAAGTGAGAAATATTTGTATTATGTGCTATTTTAACTTCTGTTTTTACTTTGTGTAATTGCAGGACACGTTCATATCACTGACTTTAATGTAGCAACCATAGTGAAAGGCTCAGAAAAAGCTTCTTCTATGGCTGGCACAAAACCCTACATGGGTAAGTTTTCAATACATTTAGAAATGTAATAAAAGTTCCATATTAAGGGTGACTAATGGTATAGCAAAAGGATTTTAAGTTGTAAAAGCATAAAAAAAAAGCTTTTTTTTTTACAGTATATATATGTGTCAGCCGTGAAAATCTTCAGAGATGAAGGATGTTGTTTGGATGTTCTTTTGTACAGGAGCTTGGTCTCTACACTCTGCTAGTCAGGTTCTGTTTGGTTTTGTGAATTCAAATTCAGCAGAAATTAATCTGTGTTATTTTCTGTAAATCCCAGCATCTTGAGACAAGAATATATGATATATTTGCACCACAGGAATATATGGTATATCTGCTTAGATGAAATGAGCAACAGAGGCATGGGATACAGAGCATTAGGAGGTCAAGGGAAAAACAGGAGACAGGGAAAAGATTTTACCTTTTCACACTAATGGATCTGGTCTAGTTGACCTCAGCTCATGTAGTTGTTCCACTCCTGAAGCCTCCTCCCCACTCATCGGATCTCCACCATATCCATCAACCTCACAACAAGAAACAGTACCAAAAATTCTCTTCTTTCCTTTATGAAGGCTATTACACCATCCACCAACTTAATTTCTCTTCACTGCATCTTCCTCACCTCTTGGAAATACAAAGATGCTGCAAAAGCCCCAGTTGCAGTCTCTACCACTCAGAAAGAGTTAGAAGAATCATCCTTGCATTTATTTGGAGCTGTAAGAAGACAGCAAAGCTTTCAGAGCTGTAAAAATCCTCTGTTTCAGATGAAAAGTGATTGGTAAGGATTCTCTGTCACACAGTTTGGATACCAAAGCTTCAACAAACCAAAATTATGTGACAGATATGGCCAGACATTCATTGGTGCTGCTTTCCTCTTTCAGTTTATACCTTTTATTTTGTGAGAAATTCCACTTCAGTGAAATCTACAAGGACTTTTCAGTTGCAGTGACTGCTGATTGTAAGGCTGTATCAAGGCTTTCCATGTGGCTTCTCCTGAGAAGTTTGGACTATGAGCCAAGTAGAAAAACAACAGAACTGGGGAGGTTGGCTCTATGGTTGATGGCCAGCTTCTATTGCCAGGAATTCAAACCACAATTTAGCCTTGGTGTAACAAGACAAAGTAACCTTCAATCATGGTACCTGCTGAGTACCAGAAACAAGGAAACTCAGCAGTTTCTGTAAGAAAAGCCTTATGCTATGCTGGTTTTCACAATGATGACAGTATGAGATATGATGAAAGCTGTTTCTCCCTCTTGAAGTTTTATAAAGTCTTACTTTCATGTGGAGCCTGTTATGTTTAATCAGATATGAGGGGACTCTCCAGCCTTTCCCCTAGCAGAGGCACTTAGAGGATTTCTCACTTCTTGCTATGGCAAATGTGAGGAAATAAACAGAAAAACTTTATCTCTAAAGCCTCCATTCCTCTTTGAAATCTGATTGAAATAGGCTGAGAAATTGCTAGGGAGTGATTTGTTCACATGCAGCATGACCAAATAAAAATGGTTTCCAGGAAAAAACTGAGTGAATTGATATTGTGTTGTAAAAATGCCCTAGCTGTTCTGATTAAGATGCCTATCTTGTAATGCTAAGCATGGTGTGAGTCAGCTCCTGCAGCCTTTGCTTAATCCCACTTCACATTAGCCTTTTAGCCCCAAACTCTTTGGTTAATCCCACTTCACATTAGCCCCAAATATTTCAGCCTGAAGCATTCCCTGCCTATTTCCCTACTTATTAAAAGTTTATGCAGAATGCACTGTACCTGAGCCTGAATGTTTCTCTAGAAACTCTATCAGTTTCCATGTCCTCTCCTAACCAGCCAATTAATTCAGACAAGTGAAATACCCATTGGGCATAGGAACAAAGACAGGGACAGCAGTACATGTGAAAAGAACAAGGCCAACAGCCTGGCAAGGCAGGACACTTCCAGCTGCTTCTGCAGCTCTTCCTCTCAAAGCCAGTGACCTGAAATGCTGAAATGAGATCAGCTTCTTAGAGTTTGGGGATCTCCAAATTTGTGTTGAGCTTTCAGGTGGCTGGGACTGTGGAAGGCAATGTGTGCCCTCTGCTGATTTGGGAAACCTGTGTGCCACCTGTGCCTGATTTTACCTTCACAAATTCACTGCTCAAACCTTTTACAATACCTGTGGCTGTTATCAAGGCTTTGTTGTAGGAATAGCTCTTTGTAAACTCATATGATTTCAGGCTGTCATCCTGCCCTGGCAAGCAATGCAAAATGTCCTTTGAGACCAGGCTGGCTTTTAGCAGGCACAGCTGTGCCAGCAAATGACCAGAAGCACTCTGGAGGATCCCTCCATTGTGCCTGGGGATGTGGAGCAGGACAGCCAGGGCAGGGCAGGACACGGTCCCTGGCACATGGACTGCTCTGTTCAGCTGTGACTCCTCCTGCCTGCAGAAGGATTTTGCTTTGGCCTCCTGTGAGAAAGGGAAGTGTGTGTTTGCCTGGCTGGAAGCACTTCTGTAAGACCTTGATACTTTCAACACTGTTTCATCTTTACGATGAAATGTATGGGAGGGGAAAATAAAAAAAAAAAAGGACATTTCTTAAATTTCTTTCTTGTGAACAAGGCTGCAAGAAATCTCTGTGTGTCTCAAATATGCTCTGTGCTGGGCACCCATCTGCAGTGCTGGCCCTCTAACCTGCAACAGAGTGCTCAGCTACAAACCCAAAAGTTAAACAGTAAAATACATCTAGAAAGCATGACAGGTGTCACCTTTCTTTTATTCCTCACTTTGCCAAATTTATGTGTGTTTGAGTCCTGTAGCATATGCTTTTTCCTTACTGAAATATTTTGGAATGATCAATTTCTATAGATCTGTGTATAATTTCTGACTGTTGCAAAACCTTTCAGTTCACAATTTATACTTTTGGGGGTTTAAGGTTTGTTGTTGTTTGGGGTTTTTTTATGTGAGGTTTTTTTTGTGTGGTTTTGTTGCTGTTGTTGCTTATTTTTGTTTTGGTTTTTGGGAACTTTTGGTTTTAGTGGTAGGAGAGTTTGGGGGGGACTAGGTAGAGCTTTTGATGTTTTTCTCAGCCAGGGACTAAAGATATTCAAATGATGCACTGTGACTTTACCTGAAATCAAATCAATAAAATACATTTTACTACACAAATACTCCTGACAAAAATCCAAAGTCAATAAAATCAGTCATAAATTATGTGAAAGGTTTCAGCTACCTCATTCCTATCTCACAGGCTTGTTATCTCAGGTTTTCACAGCTCCTTTCATAGGCTGCTGTCATGGTGAAGAATGACTGTGTGCCTGAGATTACCAGAGTATTGTGGATTTACACTGGTCCACTGAACTTCTAAAATGTATGCGTCATCCATATTTATTAATTAATACTCTGTGGGTGTGCAATTGAACTCAGAGGAAAGCCAGTGGATGTCCTGGTATAAACCTTTCACATACAAAAATCATCCCATAGAGCTAAATTTGTTTCTCAGATGCTTAAAATATAGGAGGAAAAATTCTGAGTTGAGTTTTCAAGTCATCATTCTTGGGTTTTTCTTGCACTCATATTAAACTGTGCTCTGAAATTAAATACTGTTTTGCAGCTCATTGCATTTTGAATGCAGTTAAGGCAGTGTTTAGGTTTTTAAAAATCCTACCTTTATCCTACAGGGGGTTTGACTGCCTATCTGCAGAGTTTCTCTGCTCATGTCATCACTTGACCTTTTGATCCCAGGGAAATCTCATGATGTCATCATGACAAGGGAGGCTTCTCTTTGTTCTCAGAAAGAACTCAGAGTGGCTGTGTGAGACTCCAAGGTGCTGAAATAAATATTCCCTACACTGATGGGATTTTCAGCTGGTGCTAGGAGCTACATGGCTGAGGGGACTGAACACTGAGCTGTGAGCAGGCATTCAGGTTTTGGTTCCACTCTCACACTAATGAGTAGGAACATAAGCAGCTGAGGAACCTCAGGAGATCAGGAAAGAAGTTGTTACCTCCAAGTTGTTACCGCCTCTTTGTGCTCTCTGACCTGCTACCATCCTTTAAGGTCTTCCAGCAAAATTACTAATACAATCATTTCTGTGACTATTTCAGTTAACAAATACCCCACTCTGAGTTCAAGAGGTAGTTTTGGTTTGGGCTTTTTTTGTTTGTTTGTTTGGTTGGTTTTTGTTGTTGTTGTTGTTAATTTGTTTGTTTATTTATTGCCTGCCTAAAAGGGCCTGGTGTGCTGTGGAGCTCTGCAGGCAGTTCCAAGGGGAGCAGAGGTGGAGCAGAGGTGACAAACAAGTCCCAGCAGGGCCCTTCTGCCCCCTGGATAACTCCTGGGTTTTGGTTAGGCCAGCCCCCGAGGTTTTTGCATGCACAAACTGGTGCAAAAATATTTTCTAAGCTGCTGGGAGTATGTGATGCAGGAGCATGGAACAATCCTTCTGGTGTGTCAGGTACAGTCTGTCCTGAAAATCCATTACACAGACCCGCTAATTTCAGTACTGGGCAGAACAGCTGCTGTCTATACACTGGAACAATCTTCCAAACACCAAATGGATATTTTTGGACAAAATCCCTTCTAAAAATTGCTAGAAAAACTGGCCCTGCAGCCACTGCGAGCTTTTGTACGGAGTAACAAAGGTGCTTGTGTACAATTTCATGTTCAATAATGGGAGACTGTGACGTGCTTGTTGCTGCTGGGCTTTCTTTCAGCAGGGGTAGCAACTCGAGGTTGTTTCTCTGAGGCTGATCCAGATGTTCTGCCACCAAGGGCTTCTCTGTGCAAGGTCAAGAAGTGAGTTCTGTTCAGTGGTTGAGTAAAGCAGAGGGTTGTATGAGGATAGCAGGCTGAATAAGGGCAGGAGAGGTTATATAGCCAGATGGAAAACTAATAAGGCATTCTAAATGCCATGTCTGTTTTCAGGTAATGGTATCTAAATTATTTACTTTGATTGAATAATTGCATTAAGTATGAGTATTAAAACTATTGAGGTGTATAATGTGAATAATGGTGCAAAATCAGTTACATGGCT